TTTTTACTTTATTTCATTTTTTTATCATTATTTTAATCAAATAATCATTTTAAACAAAAGCTTTTTCTTCTTTTTAAAGAAAGGATTTTCATTTTTTTAAACAAAATTCAAAAATAAAAAATTTGAATTATAAAAAAGAATTTTAAATTGCATCCTAAGGTGTTGGCACATTGACAAGGTACTTGGGTATTAATACTCATGTCTCAAATTTGAGTCCTTGCGGGCCTCAAATTAAACTTTATTTCATTTTTTTAATCATTTTTTAATAATTATTTTGGAAGCTCCAATTTGTTTTTCTAATGGTCTTTACGCCACTCATGTTTGTTGGTTCATATTTTATCGTAAAATATGAACCAATAAATTTGGGACATTTAAAATCAAACACAAAGTATTTTTCTATTTGGACCAAATATAATAGGATAATTTTCGACAAAATATGGTACCGTTTTCGAACGGGTGTCGTAGGGTGTTAACACCTTCCCTATGCTCAACCGACTCCCGAACCAAAATTCTGTTTTCGTAGACCAARTTTTTTAAATAGGTGACCAATCACACCTTGTAGATGATTGGTGGCGACTCCAAACCCTAATCTCGAAAGAGAACCGTCAAGGGATGACGTCGGCCGCTCCGCGTCGCGATGACATTGCAACAAAATATTTTCCATACTGATTTAATGTAATTTCATACAGCCGGATTTGACTGCGCTGGTGTTGAATAGGTATGGCAACCCTAAAGCAAACAATAAAATTCTAAGATTAATTGCAAAAATAAATAAGAGAGAGGGTTAGAGAAATTTGACACCGAAAATTTTTATAGTGGTTCGGCATAACTGTCCTACCCCACTTTCCAAGCATCTCTTGGGTTGTAAACTGAAATTCTGACTCTTTCCACGTAGGAGTCAGACCGGTACACTGCTCTTGACAAGAGCAAAGACGATCCTCTCCACGGTGAGGATTACACCGTCACAATGAGTTGGAAATTTCTAAACACACTTACAAAGTCTCAAATAGAGTAAATATACAAATTTGAGCTCACAAAAATTTCAATCCTCATAACAATAAATTTCTCTCACAAATAAGATGGAAAGAAAAGTTGAGAACTTGGAGAGATTAGCAAACGATAATTTTGAAGATATGGAGGATTAAGAATARGAGAATTGTTGTATAATTTTGAAGGAGAAGTTGAGTTTAAATAGAGGGAAAAAAATGGTAAAAAAATTAAGTTTAATTTTGGACCATTAGATTTTAATTATTAAAAATGAAAGGTTGAGGTAAATTTAAAAAGAAATAATTAACAATTATATATATATAATAATAATAAAATAATATATATATAAAATAAATAAAATAAAATAAAAAACATATATATATATAATGGTGTGATAAAATAAAAAATATATATATAATGTTGTGACAATTTTGGAAATATATATATAATAATAATAATAATAATAATAATAATAATAATAATAAAATAATATATATATACACACACGTGAGAAACGGTAAAAATTTTTAAAACTTTTTTTTTTATACTAATACATGTCAGTATTAAATGCTGACATGAAGTAATTAATTTTTTTTTTATAATTTTTTAAAGTTACAATGATAATTTTTTTTAACCATTTCTTTTATTTTCCTTATATATATATATATATATATATATTAACAAAACGAGCTTGTCATTTGTCAAGCTTACGAACTGTCCACATCATCTTCTCGGGTATTTTCCTTTCTTGTTTCGATCGTAACTTCTCCGTTTGAGCTCCGATTTGGATGATCTAACAGTCGTTGTAATCGTTATAATGAGCTCTACGCTATGGATACTTTAAAATACAAAATGTCAATAAATAAAATTATGTTTGTTATCATCAAAACATTAATTAATTAATTTGAGATTAAGGGCCAAAAAACCAACAGCCGGGAGTTGAAATTCTAGCTGCATGGTCTCCCATTGCGCCCATCAATGGAATCACAGCTCAAGGAAGTCCCTCTATGGTATTTATAAAAATTATTAGAGATTGTAAAAATGGGTATATCAAACGTATACCTAGTATATCAAATATATACCCAGTATATATATTGTTCTGGTTACATGATAATAACCTTGGATGTTTAGTTTATTGGATTTTGGACAATGAAATAYTAGGAATTCAACAACAAATTTATTGAATAAATTTTATTGAATATACATTTGTTTCTACATAAATACAAACTACGAGTTTAGAGCAACACACCCAAYAGATATACCCCTGATATATTGAGTATATATTTGATATACTGGGTATTAATTGATATACCCCTGATATACTAGGTATATATTTGATATATCCTTAATATACAAGTGGATAATGTCCCGTAAATAACCTAAAAGGTCTATAGTATATGGATAAAGTTGGGTACCTTATCCTGGCAACACTATGGATACGACCCACTTTGTAAATGTTACAGACAACTCGATCCAAGTCGTTCGTGTGGGGACATGCGAGTGAGGGTATCCTATACAATGAGTTTGTATAAGACCGGACCGCAAAATAGTCAATCTTTCGATATAACGYCGTTAACTAACAGATTGTTATTTCATAGGATGATCAGACAACTCATTCTCAATCCTGAATGAGTTATGGACTCTTGCCCGTGAGGACTCGTCCTTTAATCTGTATGGGTGAAAGTGGTCCGAGTCTCCGACTCAACACTCCTATCATTTTTGGGGACGAGACCGAGTGRGGAGCTGTGAACATAATTTCACAAGATGGAATTCACTCCTCTCAGACTTTAGGGGAGTAGATGAGTGTTCTCTTAAATGYTGACTCCGGGACTTGAACAAGGCGCTCCACCCTCTCACTGGCCCAATAGGGACTTCCGGTTACTGGTCGRACCATAACTGAGTTGTTCATTTAAGGAGTAGTGGTATTTAAGGAGTAAGATGTAGCTCAAGGGTAAAACGGTGATTTGACCTAGCTTGAGTTACGAGCACTCGTGAAGGATTGACTTGCCATTAATGGTCGATATCCGTTGACATAGAAATAATCTATAGTGAGAAGAGTTCATCTGCGGGTTTTTAGTGGAGTAACCCGTAGTTAACATATGTTGATTAAGGTGGTTAATGAGTTTAACCAAATTAATCTCGTAACGTTGGAGCTTCTGATCTGTAGGTCCATTAAGTCCCCTTGYTAGCTCGTAAAGGGATTAAGAATATAAAATCTTGGAAAGTAATTTGAATTGTTCAAATTTAATTAAAAGGAATTTGAGTTAATTGTGTATGACACAATTTAAGATAATGTATGATAATACATTATAAAACTATATATTATGAGAGAATAATATGAATATGATTCATATTAATACTATAGGTTAAAGTTTGATGTGAATCTATGTATATTTGAATATGATTCAAATATTTATTTATTTAATTAAATAATATTTAATTATATTTAATTAAATAATTAAATAATTATTAATTAAATTAAAATAGTTTTAATTTAATTAATTTATTAAATTAAATTATATATATATATATATATATATATATTTGCTCACCACGCCCCAGAAATTTTGTTTGGAAAGTGGTGAGGTGGAGAGTGGGAAGTTTCTTCTCGTCTCCATCTTCCCTCATTTCTTTATAAAACACAGGGAATTTCCTTGCGTTTTGAGGTTGTTGATCAAAAAGGAAGAACACGCTCTCTCTCACAAAAACCGATTCTCAATTCCTTTCTTTTCGTTCTCATTTCTCCGAGATACGAGATACCACAATCTCGTTCTTAAGTCCTTGAGACATAGCGAGGTAACTTGGTGGTGGTGTTCAATCACGTCTTCGGGAGTTTTTGTTCGTGCTATCACGACGCTTGTGCTCGAGGAAGAGAATCCGCCAATGGTCTTCAAAAGTAAGTGTTTTTCTTATTCCCCGTGAGGCTTAACCTTGGTTTTAAATAGAATTGCTCTATTTTTTATAAGAACCGGTATCGTTTCTTCTTCTAAAACTAAATTGAATCACAATCGATAAAACGCTTCCGCTTGGGATTCGATCCCTTCAGAAACAACACTTTGTTTTGCACACCTCTATGAGAGAGACGAACATGCCTCGCCAATTCCCACATCATTCAGGCTTGTTGCATTTAATCTTTTCAAGTAGAAGGAGAAAACTTGAGTTGACCTACCTAGTTGACTTGTCTATAAAGAGATCAACAACTCACCTCTGGGCCAATACTATGAGGGCAAAGTTAGGCATAATATATAGCCTTTTACCGAGCCTCGAATAATTCTAAGATGGGGAAGAAGGACTCCTCTTCTATTAAGTAGAGGTCAGTTTGGCTCCAACCTTAGGATGATTCTGATTGGCAAAAAGTTAGTTGATATTTAGTGAAAGGACTATTATTGTATTGACAGTGGTGATGATAACTTCGATTCCCAATGCTCCCCTTTTATAAAAGGTGGAKGAGTCACACCAGGTATACAATCTCTTGCATTCTATTTAAACCTTTGCTCAAGACCAGATACCATATCGGTCCAAGGTTGTAATGTCACATCATATCCCACACAAGATCACTACTGACACACCACTTCAACGAGAATCACACATCACTAATAGCTTAACTAGTTAAGGTACTTATCTCCGACCATCCTAAGTTTGGATCTTCATCTCCATGTTGTACTAAAAAAATAACAAAATAGTATATTACTGGGTTCTAATATTTACGATTTACTATTAATTTTTTATTATATCTACGAGGGGCCTTTTTGGTTTTAGATCGGGTAATTTTGAACCGGGTACGGGTAGTCCGGATCGGGTCGTGAACSCGAGGCGCTAGGGTTGGTAGGAATCTGGCGCCAAAGAATTAATCGGCACGTCATTGTGAATTTGCTCTTGAGCGAAGCGAACCAGGGAGAATCGCAGGGTCGACGGACGGCGAACCATGGACGCTCCGGCACCGGCGGAGCTTACGGTGACGCAGCGAAATCAAAGGATGGTGGAGTCTGAGGTTGCTCGGATTTACGACTTTTTCTTCCGGTCTCCTCGCACCGCGCAAGAATTCATGTAATGAGCTAGGATTTTTTTCTGACTCAAAATCCTTTATCATTTTGAAGGTGGAGAACTTTTTTAATGGTTGCTTTTTTTTTTTTTTTCACTATTTCTAGGTTGGAGCTTCAACGTGAAAATCATATCGAATATCTTACCAATGGTCTCGATCATCTGGGACCCTCGTTTCGCGTACTGGATGCCAAGTAATTCTATTTCTTATACACACTTGAATTCTTACTTTCAAATATTATCCAGTCTTTGCTTGTAAACTCATTATTTTTCTACGATTTTTTTTCCATTTCTTAAAGCGGGATAAACTCTATAAGTGGTTTTCGAGTCCGTTTGTTGTGCATTTAAGTTCATTTAAACTTCTATTTTTGTTGCTAAGTGATTAGTTCGAGTGTTCTATTTTGTTGTCTCCTCTGAAAATATTAAGAAGTTGGAACTTAACTGGAAAGTAATTACGTTTATTAACTATTCTGTTGTTACTTGGATTTAGTGCAGATCTAAGACGAGTAATTCTTTTAGTTCAGCCGGGTTCTAGAATACTAATGCAAGGTTGTCTTGATGAAGCTCTTGTCTCCTAGAAATTAGTACATGATTTGCAGTCAAGTCAAGGCTTTAGTTGGGAATCTCAGTGCCATGGAAAAGTTTTACTTGTGTTTTTTGATTGCCCAGTTACTCCATTCAACCATATAACACATGCCCGATTGAGCAGTTATGATGCATTGTATGCTAGCTTACTCATGTCTTTCTTCTTGCCTCTAATGACATTTTATCAGTCGTCCTTGGATTTGCTATTGGATTCTGCATTCAATTGCTCTACTGGGAGACTCTGTACATGCTGAACTGGAGGCTAGGACCATTGACTTTCTTAATCGTTGTCAAGTACGGTCATTCCACCTCTTCTTGTKTTGCATCATTTATGAACGTATCTTTCTTAGATTTGGAACACTTCTCAGTATGAACTATGCATCCTTGAATGATTATTGTTGTTTTTTTAAACTTCTTTTATTACCTTTCCTTTTTTATTCTTGCTTCAGATGTTTTTCTCTGGTGTCTATTTGAAATAGATACTGCATGAATTGAAATTCCATGCTTAATATAGGGATGCAACATTTAATTATTTGAATGTTGAAATTGTTTTTTTGTTTCCCATACTTACAGGATCCAAATGGTGGATATGGAGGTGGACCTGGACAGGCGAGTCAAGTTCATAATAATGATTTATTTGGAAAATTGGTGCTATTTCTGGCATATGATTTTTGTTAGACAACTTCATTTCTAGGAGGTTTTTGAAGATACAAAGCCTTGTTAGTAATAATGCAATGATGTTTCTTATTGAGAAAAGAAAAGCATCAATGTGGAAATATGTGTAAAAGGTCCATATATTCATTCAACTTGTGGTGACCTATCTGCGATTTTGATATCAAAATTTAAGAATTCCTGACTATGAAATGTTGAAAGTCAGGTGCATTTTCAGTTTTGAAACCACTCAAGATTGAAACATGGGGTTTTGAGTATAAAAAACAATCACTATGTTATATAGTATTTTCTGCATAAATTATGCAACTTAGTCAACCATCATGGGATGATCCAAGTGGTCAATGAGGGCCAATGTAAATAGCAAAGGACTTAGAGGGAATGGGTTCAAACCATGGTGGCCACCTACCTAGGATTTAACGTCCTACGAGTTTCCTTGTCAACCAAATGTATTAAGGTTAGGCGGTTGGCCCGTGAATAGTYGAGGTGCGCGTAAGCTGGCCCAGACACACGGATATATGAAAAAAGAAATAAAACATGCAACTTAGTCATTTAGGCTTTTAAGGAGTTAAGTAATAGGTTGCTTCCTAGTTTCTGCCTTACTACAAAATTTCATCTTAATGTATGTGCTTTGTGCATATGTGTCACTTGCCAGAAGTCCCAATCATTTGAAGTCGCTTATGTGAAACCCTGAGATAGAAATACACAATGGTTAGCAAATACTCGTGGGATACTAAGAAAAGTTAGAAAGTACCAAAGTGTTGGGAGGTTTGGAGTTCTCCCCTCTAAATTAGTCTTTTAGCCTTGTAAGGAATTTAGTAAAGTAATTGGTTGTCTCTAAGATTTTGCCTTACAACAAATTGGCTACTCAATAGCAGTTTGCTTACGTGGGTAGAACTAGAACCTGAGAAGGAAATGCTGAATTGAGAAAAAAATGTACTTGTAGGAGTACCAAATGTTGAGAATGAGAGGTCTGGAGTCCTCTCCTCTCCATCTAGATTTCTCTTCCTTCCCTCCTGCACTTGTATACTACTTGCTACTTGCTACTTGCTACTTGCTACTTGCTACTGACAACCTCACTAAATCTTCTCCCGCATGCTAAGCCTGCTAAGCCTTAAACAATGGTCTAACTAATTTGATCCCATCCCTGGGCCCCTGGCCTAAGTTCAAGCATTATGTTTCGGTTTTTCTAATCATGTGGATCTGCACAACTAGAAAGTATTCAGTTTTTATTTTACAGTCCTCAATGTAATTGAATTGATATTTTCTGTGTACTAATTAAGTTTTGGGTTCTCCACAGTTACCTCACCTAGCAACAACTTATGCTGCAGTGAACTCACTTGTCACATTGGGCAGTCATGAAGCTTTGTCGTCAATTAATAGGTGGTCAGTTTATGATCTTGGGATCAGTTACTTTTCTGAGTAATTTTGCAGTGATATGACATTATCATTGAAAAATCTTTCAGACATAAACTATACACCTTTTTGCTGCAGATGAAACAACCTAGTGGAGGCTTCAGGTATCATGTCACTCCTAATAACTTAACCCTAGTTATGATCCCACTTTTTTTTTTGTTTCATGTCTTTCTAAGAAGTATCTTGGCACCTCACATCATCATTGCAACTCTATATTCATTGTTCAAGATTAGTGCTTGATTTATCATTCTGTGGTGGAGATTTTTTTAATATTCTCCGTTGCTGGTTTTTACTAGAATGCATGATCAAGGAGAAATAGATGCCCGTGCTTGCTACACTGCAATTTCTGTAAGTCAGCATCTTATTGGGATCTAAATGTGTTGCATTACGTATGCATGCAATTTTTGGTTGTTTAAGCAAATTGGATGTTTTCATTTCTTTGAAATTGATGATGGCTTATTCTAGCATTAATATAGACTCTGCATTTTATTGCATGAATACACTGCTTTTTTTATTTGTTGAAGTTAGTTATCATTCATGATTCATCAATGAGTATAGACATAGCAATATCAAGGATGGTGACTTTGAATCTGTAGGTTCTAGCTAAAAATTGTTGATAAAGAGACTCATTCTTGTAGGGAAGAAATGCCCATCGTTTCAATGGGAATTAATTGTCTTTTAGCTACTTTTACCAGTGCTGCAGGTGATATTTATGGAGTTTTGTTTTTGGTTTAAATCTCATTTTTGTCTTTAAACTTTAGAACTATTCCATTTTGGTCTCTAACTTTCAAAATGTTTATTCTAGTTCTTGAATTTATAAAAATTAACCATTTTGGTCTTTCCAAACTTTTGAAATATCTATTTGTCTCTGAACTTTGAAAAAAATAACTAGCTTACCACATTACCACTATTTAAACAATTGGCAGCAAATTTAATGGTGAAAAGAAAACCAAAATTTCTATTTATTATGGTTGAAGGACTAAAATAGACATTTTGAATGCATAGGGACTAAAACCACAATGGCTATTTGTTCTACCTGTCAGGTTGCTAGTATATTGAACATCTTGGATGATGAACTGGTTCAAAATGTTGGAAATTACATTTTAAGGTTGGTTCCTAACTTTCTCTATGTTTTCATGCATGTACTTTTGTGAGTCTGTGATGAACCCTGTAGATTTATAGCTTCTTCCAACAACTGAGAAACAAAAATCAAGTAAATCCTGACCACCTCTCTCTTATATTTGGTGGTCATCTTTCTAAGGAGAAGAAGATTCTATTTGCAGCTAGCTAGAGCCATTTTTTTGAGCACCTGTGGCTTGAAAGAATCATTAGATTCCCTCATTTTTGTGCCTCTTGCTTGATGCAATTTTTACCTTTTTAAAATTTTAGTTCAAGTACTCTTTATGTCACTTGGAAGAACTTTTATAATCTTCTTTGGCATGAAGCTTTGGTTTTCTTCCCCCTCCCTTTTGGAATTTCATTTATTCAATGTAATTAGTTTATTTCCTAAAAAGATAAATTGAGTGCAGACTGCGAAATTGGATGTCGTAATTTGGCTGTACGCTGAAAATCTTCAGATGCGTGACTCAAGCAAAAACCTTAGTGGGCACGAAACTGTGCAGCAGGAGCTGTTCCCCATGGGATGCCTATTATTGCTGGATAAACTGGGATATAGGGTTACAAATTGAGCACACTTTCTCTATGGATAGTGATATAGTCATAGTGATTGGATATGAAAACCTTAAATGAGTCAACAATCTGCCGAAAGTGAAACTATTGAGCAGTTAGTGGAAATCTCCGTAGTTAATTATTATTATATTAGCTTGGAAATGTTGCTCGTTGAAAGATTAAGATGGGCAAGTGACAATATCTGCTGTGTTTTCTTATGTTTATAATTTATTGCAGTTGTCAAACTTTTGAAGGTGGCATTGCAGGAGAACCTGGATCTGAAGCTCATGGTGGGTATGTTTCTACTTTTCATCATTTTATCTTCGTGGATGCCAAGTTCAATACATTTTGTCGGTGGTAAGATGAACAATCATATGATTGTTTACGTGTAATCTCTAGATACTTTGAAGGTTCATAATATCAGGGAAGTTGTAGGTATCAATCTTATAATGCTTGACATTAAGAATATCTTTTTGTGTTCTTTCATTTCTCTGAATGAAATTCCAGATTCTCGATCATTAACTTAAGAATATCTTTTGTTGTTCCTATGAATAACCTTTTTTGTTCTTAATATTGACCTACCTCATCAGGTACACCTTTTGTGGTTTGGCTACTATGATTCTGATCAATGAGGTTCACCGGTTGGACTTGCGGAGTTTAGTTGTAAGACTTTACTGAGGAAAATTAATTATCATTCCTAATCCTCCGTTTCATGTTTGTTATAAGCTTGTCTTTTGGTTTCAATGCTACATGGTAAATAATATGCCTAATATTGAAACCCTGACATCTACTGTTTTACATTAGGAGTGGGTGGTGTTTCGTCAAGCTGGTTTAGAGTGTGGATTTCAAGGGAGAACAAATAAGTTGGTAGATGGTTGCTAYTCGTTCTGGCAGGTTAGTTCCGTTCTGGTATTGTTTGATACAGTGTTTCTTGGTAACCATTTGATTAGCTTATGAAATCCAGGGAGGTGTGTGCTCGATATTACAAAGATTAAGTTTGAATATTGATAAACCATCGGTTCGATCTGATGCTCAAGAAGAAGGCTCTTCTATCAACAGCCTGTTAACTGGTATGCCATCAAGTCCTCTTCTTTTTGTTTTTCTTTGTTTTAAGGTAAACACACGTATGAATTAATTATCATAAATATGCTCAAGAATAAGACATCTTAAAAATAAAACAAGAATAACGTGAATCTAATGGCTTAATTTTGTTGGACGAATAACGGGTGAACATTTTTTAGCCTATTCCAAATGTCTTCATCATCATCTCACCTTTTTCTTTAAAAAAAATTATGTTGTCCTGTTTCAGCCAAATAGCGCATCACAAACTTGAAACTGCACAATTCCAAAACATGTTTTTCCTTTTGCTTTCTGAATCCAAAAATTCCCAACTGAACAAAGGTTAAAGATTCAACATTTCTTATGAGTCCAACTTGCATCAAACTGAGAGGGCAGTTTACACTACACTGTAGCCCCCCATTTACCCATTTCGTGGTCTTTTCTTAAAATATACCAACTTTAACGAAGAATAAACATTTCTTAGGAGTCCGCATATAGTTGAAGTATGAAATTTACACCACAGATTTGGTATCAACTTAATATCGTGTTTATACCTATGATTTCATCCTCAACGAGGTTAATCTTGTGATGTTTATTCTTCTCATTAGGTACAGGTACTTCTCAAAAGGTCAATTTAAATGATATTGGTTATGAGTTTATCAAGAAGCTTCCAAGTAGTCAACCTCTTTTCAACWGCTTAGCCTTGCAGCAATACATACTTCTATGCGCGCAGGTAAACATTAAAGAGTTATTTTATATATATTTTCTGTAAGAAACAGACGATATTAAGAAAAAACGAACGGAACAGCCAAACAGTCGGGTGAAGAGGAAACCCCCACCTAGATATTTTACATTACTAACTCAATAATTGGCTTAGTACTTTTGTCTTTATGTTTGTCATTTATATAGCGTTGATGTGATATGATATGTAAAATATTGAAACTGATTTGAGAATTATAAGTAATTGACTGACATCTGTGAAGATGTATGGTCATTGTACAAAATATCTGAATGTTCCTCTGTACTGGGAATCCTTGAATTCACCCATTTYAGATCACATTCATCATTTTATTCCACAGTGTATTTTTATAACCATAGTGAGTGATTTACCTGATAAGAGTTTTATGTTTTGTTTGTTCCTGTATTTTTGTTGTTCCAATATTGACAATCGTGTTTCCTGGAAACAATCATTTGTAACCCGGGTCTCTCTTTGTATGTATTCTCGTTTATTTAGTTCAGTTTTGCCCGTTCCTCGGATGCAGGTGCCAGAGGGTGGACTAAGAGACAAACCTGGGAAGCCAAAAGACTACTACCACACATGTTATTGCCTGAGTGGCCTCTCATTATGTCAGTATAGCCTGTCGAAGGAAGATTCTCCGCCACTCCCCAAGGCGGTAGTCGGCCCCTATTTTAACCTCTTGGAGCCTGTCCATCCGCTTTACAATGTTGTCTTTGAACGTTCCATTGAAGCACTTGATTTCTTTAGGGGGAAATAGGTAATCTCTTCCCCTTCACCTCTCTATAGCATACTCTTAGGCCTTAAAACTCAGATGGCTGTCTACTCTTCCATTTTCTTGGATGGGTTTATCTTGTGTATGCATAATGATAATGGATTTAATTAGGTTATGCCATGATATTGAGTTTTTATCTCAATGTCCTAATGTCATTTTTAGCTACATCTCTTTCATTGTTTGTCAATATCATAACCATGGAGAAGGGACCTTTGTTTGTTTACTATAAATTATCATCGATATCAAAGAGGATAAATGCTACCATATGTATCATGTTTATTAGTTATTTTCAAAGTAAAAATAGAAACAAATTGTTCTAAAAGAGGCCAAACAATTAGCAAACTCATGCAATATCGTTCTTGAAGGGTTTATTTTTTATTTTTTAATTTTTATTTTTAAGTTCAACATGTAGGGGTGAAGACTCGAACTTCTAATCTTTTGGTCGAAGATATATGCTTTAACTAGTCGAGCTATGCTTAGGCTGGTGTATCATTCTTGGAGCTGATTTTGAAGATCGTGTCCTATTTCCAAAATAATTATTACCCTATATTTTATTTTATTGATAGTTTTGGAAATGATGCAATAAAAAGAATCTATATAACTTGAGCTTTTACTTTTTATTATATATTTAAGAGAGAGAAGAAGAGTGGAAAATTTAAAGACAGACACACAAGCGTGCTTGCCAACACATCTATAGCTTATTCTTGGCGACCCTCGCATCTTAGTTCTTTTTAGTACAATAAATGTGAGAATGAGAGGTTGAATCTTTGACCTTTAGAGAATGATCAAGGTACCTTAATCATCGAGTTATGTTAGTGTTGGTATTTAGATCTTGACTCATACCGATCAGAATCTGATCCCACGAGAAATTGAGCATAAGGCTGTCGAATTGGTCTATTTCTTGTGTGTACCAATTGAAGTTTTTTAAAAATGAAGTTCAGACACCTTGCTGACCCTCAAACCAACCAAATCTATTATTATTCATTAAAATACATGAGAATTTATGGAGGTAATGCCTTTAGTTAAGCAATACTTGTGTCGGTAAATCCATTGTTAATTTAGTTAGACAATGCTTTATATTATTGTCATTTTATAAACTGATGCAATCCAAGATTTTCCACTTTATAGAAGTTGGAAGCTGCTCCAAGAATCTCTTTTTTTTCCACTTCTTCCTCTTCTTTTTCTTTCATCTTATGCCTAAAACAATTTATTTTAATTTTGGTGATAAATAATATTGTGCTTTATCTTGGTTACATCCCCAATGCAATTTTGATCAGAAAAAAGAAGAGAGATGAAATGGAAATGGAACTTTTAGAATTTGGTGAATCCTGAAATGGGTTTCAATCAAATTGAAGGAAGATTCAGTCCTCAGGAAAACAGACTTTTTTTTTTCCTTCTACATAACCAAAGATTATGTTATTAAAAAGAAGTCTCATCTTTGCAGGATTGAACTTCTAAACATGTCCCTAGAGCTTCCAGTGCAGAATGGTGGCCACATCCTTTACCTACCAAAGAAAGAGTAGCAATTTTGGTAGAGTAAAAAAAAGAAGAAAAATAGAGAAAAATGAAGCATAGTTTTAAAATTTTGCATCATTCTCATTGCGTGAAAGAAATGGGGAAAAGGTAACTTTTTTAGAACTTGGAGTTACTCATGAACTCCACCTCATATTTATTGTCAAACTTATATACCAGAACAGTACAATTGAAAGTACATCATATGATGAAAATCAGTGAGAAAAACCAGATCGATCCGCCGATAATAGATGGTGTTCATACAGACAAAGACGGAGTAAAGCTGAAATCGAGTCCCCAGAGCTCGAAGGATCCGCTAACGAAGTCGTAGTAACCACCCTTCAGTCCTAGGGTTCCATTCACCAAACCATCCCTCACAAATGGATAGGTTAGCAGATTCCCAAGTGATACTCCCACTGCTTCCTGCATTTTCAGAAAAAAAAAATGAAAAAAAGGCCATGAAATTTTCCGAATTAAGCGGTCAAATTATCACTTTTAATAGTTTAAGGACCTATTAGACACAAACTTTGTAAGTTGGAACYTCTGATTTTGAAGTGAAAAATGACATTATTACCTTCTCACATTGTGCACATAGTTCCCCAAGACCTGCATCACCATGCTTCGATTTCACCTTGGCCTTAGCAGGCAAACCAATTTTCACCCACTCTTCAATGAAATCACTGTATTGAAAACTCAGAAAATGTGAGTTCTAATCAGATTCAATACAATTTTTACGATGCTTGTTAAAATTTCAGTCGAAATATGTTTCGATAACTATTTCTTTTGAAGGTTGTCGTCAATTAGTATATTTTTACGTGTGACTATGTTGTTTAGTAGAACAAATGAAGCTACCACTCGTAAAATTACRGGTTTTGGAATTATGGTTTCGATTTGCACGATAAGATCAACTTTTACGAGTAATTTAATCGCGAAAAATCGCGAGCTTTTCTTTTTGAAATTTATATTGAATCGAAGAGAAATTGAAGGAGAGGGCTTACGTTGAGTAGTTTCCATCAAATGGGAAGGTCATAAGTCCCTTRATCCCACCACAAGCACTGTGGCCAATCACCACAATGTATTGCACCTGCATCAGTATAAATTCCAATTTTCTATTTTACATGGCACAAAAATGAAAAAATCGAATCTTAAATATTCCTATGAAAATTTAGAATCCGTTTTGTAATGTTCTATATATGTTATGTTTGTTTGGTAACTGTTCTATTTTCTCGTTTCTTATTTTTAAGAAATATTTTTAAAATTGTGTAGAAATTTTAGAAACAAAAAATTCTGAGTTTTTTTTTTTAAATAGAGATAAAAGGCATTATCATATCATTATTTATTTTTGAAATGCACAATATGTATAAAAAAATAAATATAAAAATTTGACTATTTAGTTTGAAAAATTAAATTTTATATAAAAATTTTATGTTTTTTTAATCTAAAATTTTAGACAACATAGAACAAAAAATAGTTATCAAACATGTTTCCGTTTATTTTTTAATAAAAAAGAGAGAACAAAAAGCAAGAAAGAGTTACCAAACATAATTATGTTTTTCTGGATTAAAAGAAAGAAAGAGATAACAAGAAAGATGAGATAGAATCGAGAAACAATAAGGTTCCTAAAAAGAGCTTTAAAGTTAAAAAGAAAAAAATGACAAAAACAAAACAAAATGAATGATAAAAGAAAGCCATCCAATCCCAAAATTTTTCTTTTTTATTTTTTAGAATATTAGATAGAATTAACCACTAAATTAGTTTCAAACTAACATAAAAATAACTTATTTATTTTTTTAGTTTTTTCCTCCTTTTAATGTCATTAATCTCTATCTATGTGTACGTGGGGAGTATTTTTATATATTTATATACCTTGAGATGCAGAACTGCATATTCAATGGCAGATCCAGTTCCTGAGAATTTGCTCTGGAAAAAGCTCAATATTTAGATTTATAACACACACAACAAAATAAATAATATTAAAAAAAGAGAGAGAAATGAAAATACCTGATCATATGGAGGGACCAAATTGGCAACATTTCTGACCACAAAAGCCTCCCCTGGTTGGAAATCAAGAACATGTGATGGGCACACCCTTGAATCAGAGCATGCAAACACCATAAACTGCATTTTTTCCACAAATAACCCTTCAATTTTTCTCAACATAATCCAACTTTAAGCATATTAATTATATCAAAAAAAAAAAAAAAAAGTCATACCTTGGGGCTTTGGCCCTTTGCAAGTTCACCATATAACTCTGGATTCTTGCTGAAACATACAAAGGGAAGTCACAACAAGTCGGATGATATGCTTTTGGTAACTGTTTCTTCTTTTTATTTTAAAAAACTATGGTCAGTCAACATTCATGGAATCATGTTACTACCCGCATCAGCAATTCGGGCAAATCGAAGAAAAAATGAGGGAGGTAATTAATTATACCCTCACGTACTTTGAAAGATTTTAAAGTCTTTCGATCCATAACATACCTCTTTAAGATTATAGGCACAGACACGACAAAATTCAATATTWTCCCAAGAAAATTGGGGCTTAATTATTCAGAAGTTATAAAGGAAAAAAAATTTTACTCATATTTCTCCTTCTTGAATTGAATGAAACCAGATTTGATTCTGTCAACAGGATCAAATGCTGGCTTCCCTCCATCTGCAGTTTTCAATTCTGCTGTTATCTGCTCCACCTTTGATGTTGCTGCTGCTTTCAAATCTCCTTTCTCTCTGCACCCACCAAAATATAATTAATAATTAATAATATATACCACAACTTTTTTTATAAAAATAAATAATTATATATATTCAAGACCTTATTTGCAGTACCTGAGGAGCTTCTCCAAAGCTTCAATGGCTTCCTCATATGAACCCATATCTTCTTTCTGCAACAAGCAAAGAAATATTAATAAGAAATACAAAGTTTATATATATATATATATAACAAATAATAACGAACTAATTCCTAAACATGCTTAATTTTGAATAACAAAAAGTCTAGCAAAACGAAAATCTTACCAAACGAGACTTTTCCAGCGAAGAGGAAGGTATTGAAATGAAATATTTAAAGAGAAAATTTTGGTTAAATTTAGAGATTAATTTGGTGTGCAATTCGCCAACTAACTTCTGCTGTGTTTTTTTTTTTTTTGAGCTTTTATTTATTTATTTATTTTTAAAGGTGGAAATAAAGAGACTTTTTTTAACGTAACAATTATGTTGTGAAAGGGAACAGATGGGTGAAGTTGGGATGCCATGCATTACGTTACATGTCGGTTACATTAAAAAACATCACAGTTCAGTGGGATGTTGCCACGTGTCCCAATGGGAGACCAATAGCAGCTTGCCACGATGGAGGAAAAAAGGTTGGTGGGTTCTGCGAGCAATCCACGTGACATGCACGCGTATGAGAAATCACTTTCCCCACCTCATTTCTCACTGCACCCACCCATGTCAAACTATATGAATGTGGGTGATGAAAGACATCACCGACTGCCACCATTACAATTTTCAAACGAATAAATATTATTTTTAAAAAATAAAGGTTCATTTTGATGCAAAAAAAAGAGTAAAATTAAAGTACTATGCACCCACGTCAATTCGTGGAAAGAATAGTCAATTCGAGTAGAGTACAGTAGACGAGACACACGTATATATACTCTTTTTTTTTATGCTCAGAGACACCCGCATCTATCTCAAGGTCCGACCTCCCAAGAGATATGAAAAATTTTTGGTATTAAACTCATCAGAAAATTTAAACTTGAGACATTTAAATCAATATGATCAAGAGAGACCCTAAATCCTTACCAATCAACTTACCCTTTCGAGGTGACACCTTATCAAGGTCAATAATTCTATATATCACTTTGTAATTGTAACGGTGGAACTAAAAAATGTGAAAGATGAGAATTAATGGTACAAAATTAAATGTGGGTGAAATGAGAAATATCTTTCCTCACCCACATTCATATTTGATGTGTCACCCACGTAAGAAATGAATATGTGGGGGTGAAGAGAGAGACATTCTGTTGAAGAATATTCATGGTCTCAATTCTGACAAGTGTACCTCTCCTCTCTGTCTCTTAACACTTTATTATTTTCAAATGATTTATTATTTTTTTTTATCAGAAAAATAAAGGACAATTTTGGTATTTTATATATTGTATCCAAATTTTTGGGAAGAAATGGGCAAATTCCAAACCAAYACTTTCTCCAACTGACAGCAAACTACCTAAATTCCTAGCTAAGCTATCACTAAAAAACAAACAAAACAAAAGATTCAAAAAACGCACAGATTAAATATTAATCCATCCAAGAAATAAACTCCTAATAATATATARTCATATGAATGTAAATGCACAGATGAAAATTATTCGATGGGGCTGTTTTCTAACGACCGTGGCATAATATAACTGTTTCATACATCTACATTACTAAAGTTAGTATTGTTTTTTAATTTTCTATTATACMTCCAACGATATAAAACAGTCMGACACATTGTTTCTTTTCATGAAAATGCTGGGAGAGAKATKGAGAGAGGGAATGGCATACGTACCCAAGTGGGGGCGATGAGAGGGGCAGGGGCGGCGAAGACGGGTCGGTTTTGGATGAGGCTCGGGACGGAAGGAGAGGAAGAGGAAGAGGAAGAAGGAAAAGAAGAGTTGTTGAGTTTGGCAAAAACAGAAGGGCGAAATGAAGAGGGCTTGTTGAGAGAGAGAGAGTGAGAGTGAAGGCAAGCAGTAGTGTTGATCGAAGCCGTCGACATTGTGCCACAAAGCCTCACAATTGCATGGCTTTATAATATAAAAGCTTTTGAATTCCTTTTCTTTGGGATAATGAAAGTGAACCAAAACTCAACCACAGCTTCTTCTTTGCTGGATCAGATTTGGGTGTTCCAAATTTCTCTCTCTCTCTCTCCCTCTCTTCTCCATTGCAATGCCTTTTCTCCACATATTCAATATTGAAACCTACTCTCTGCTCCAAACGTTTCAAGAGATATTATCTAATGACGATCGCTCTCGACTGCCGTACACTTCTACAACAAATTAGACTTTTAACGACACTAATAAATTTTAGGAAGATTATTGGCTACAACAAAGATAATTAACAATGTTTAAGCTAATTTGAACTTAAAGAAGTTTACTAGTCAGCACCTAGCACCTCTTATCTTATATAGAAGAGTATTGGATTTTTGACAAATAAGATACGAAGGTAAAGAAATAGGTTTTTTTTAATAATGAGCKGTAAAAAATTCAATGATAGTTAACATAAAGATAAGTGCTCACTAGTCGACACCTAAATATTTTCCTTAATGAAATCAATTGTTTAGGATAATACTTAGGGTTGTTCCGAGCGAGAATTTATGTCTAACGACCCTTAGAAAATTGATAGCTCATTATTTAAAAAAATAAAATAATAAAAAATCTGAATTTTTACATTTTTCTCTCGGTTGTCAAATATTTAATTTTGGYAAGCACAAAATACATCCTAACCTAAAAAATTTTGATAGAAAAGGTAAACTTTTGTGGTAATTTTAAAAAATTATACATATGTATGGAAATAGAAAGTAAAATATTGTAATTGYCTTTTTTATAATTTTAAAATGCGACCCGACGGTTAAGAATCTGTTATTTCTTAATATTATAAGATGATGGTCAAAACAGTCCACAAATTTTTTTGTCGGCGAGCTAATTCTTAGTAACATTTTTTAAAATTTGGCACAATCTTAAAAAACAAAAACAAATATATCAAACTACTTTATTTTAACATATTACAAAAAAAATGTTAATATAAAAGTTTAATTTTTTATTTAAATAATATTTTTATCTGTGTTTTAAATTTGGGTTCATTTTAGTTTTCTATGAAACATCTATTTTAATTCTTGTATTTTGACTTTGATTCAAGTACTTTTAAAAAATAATTATTTTAATTTTTATCAAATTTTTTTCTATCACAATTTTAGCACAAGACTTTCTTGAAATATTACCATAAATTTATATTAAATAATTTTTATTGTGTATAATTAAAATTTTATAAATAGGAATTAAATTGGACGTTGAAACAAAACAAAGTCTCAAGTATTTTATTTGGTTGGAAAAAGTAGTRTTCTTTCTCTCTCTAGGAATAMTGAGAAAAATGTAGATAAAATGAGGCATGGTTGGATCTCAAAAATTTGATCCTGAATCCCCAAAAAGGAATATGTACCACAAAATTATGATATGAAGCATTTGTGTGAATGAGAGACAATGGGAAAGAAAGAAGAGATATCCTCAACCTCTTATCCTCAAAATGGACTCCAATGGCAAACAATTATGACACATGGACCATTTTCAAGCTCCCTCKTATCTTCTCTCTCCTCTCTCCCATATCTCACTCTCTCTTACCTTTCTCTCACTACAAGCAAAAACTTTTCCCATCCATTTCAAAAAATAATTATACCAACACATGACATCCCGTTCAAACATAAATAAACCACCAATTTAAAAGTTTAAGTTGATGGATTGGATAAATTTAATTTATTTACGAATATTTAATAATTTGCATKGTTAGAGAAATTTTAAAATAAAGTTGTTAGTTTATTGATGTCAAATTTTAAATTATGAATTATTGAGACTAGGTTGATAGTCATTTCATTTTTTTTTCTATTTTTAAAAATTAAACTTTGTTTCTATTTTTAAAAATCAAACTTATAAACATTAATTTATCGTATATTTTGTCAAATAGCTTTTATAAATATTTTCAAAATCTACCGATCAAATTTTATTTAAAACTTTTTTAAAAATTTGATTAAGAATTCAAATATTTTCAAAATCTACCGATCAAATTTTATTTAAAACTTTTTTAAAAATTTGATTAAGAATTCAAATATGTTTTAAAAGTCAAAAATTTTGTCAATGAATTGAACAACATAAATTTTAAAAATAACAAACTAAAAATAAAATGGTTATGAAATCATCCTGATCAAGTGATTTTATTATAATCATCTTTTATATACACACTAAAATTATATAAAAATTAGAAAATTTGAAAACATTGAAAACACAGTATAGAAATGATCATCTAATCCAAATTCTCCGATAAACACGATCGTTGAAGGAATTGAAGATGTTTACCTCGGTTGTTGGGCCGGGCTGGAAGTTGTGGGCTTGAATTGGGCCTCGCGAGAAGTCATTAAACAAGGTAGATGGGCCGACACACAATAGGCCCAAATAAACAGAGCCCTATGATCGCATGGACCGGGGCGCTCCGATCTGAGATTGGGCAGTTCCGTTCCGGCGCCGGCGACGGGGAAGAGAGAGAGCGGAATTTCGAATTACGCGGAGGAAGTTTGTGGAAAACCGGGTGCCTTCTCCGGCGAGAAGGCGGCGGAATGAAGATGAAGCCACCGTCTCGTCTCCCATGGCGGAAATGTTTCGAGAGAGAGAGAGAGAGAGAGGAGGCGTTCCATTGATTGGAATTTGAAGGAAGTTGGCGACAGAAAATGGCGAAGAAAGGCGTTACGTACAAGTTACACATTACAATACAATGTCGACATTCTCTTGACATTGTTTCGATGAGTCGGACGCGAGTGGGGGCCACAGCGCTAAGGAAACGCCACCCATGACTCTAATGAGCTCATATGGAGCCACCTATACCAATTAGTAACAAATATGGTCCYAAGGTATCTCAATTTCATACAAATATTGGTAAAATKATTATATCGATAGATATTTATGTAAAAGTTAAAAGAAATTAAAAAATCGTAAAAAATATCAAAATTAACAAATCAATATTTTTCTATTTACAAATAAATTTAAGATTGACTAATAATAATATTATATATATATAATTGAATGAAAATTTCAATTTATTCCTCGTGTCGATGTCGAATCCATGAATACATAGAAATGTTGATGGACATGACAACGTATCGATGGATATTTAATATCATGATTAATGTACATGTTTTCGACTAAAAGGTAAAGAGTTTGACTGATTTTCATAGGTGAATCAACCCAATAAATCAAGTGAGTGAGTGAACAAAGTGTGAGTCTTATCTCAAAGTGGGTCCATATTCATACTTTTGTAATAAAAGTTTMTTTGTTGGAGCAATTATTTCTTTCCTTTTTAGCTGCACTAATTTACTAATTTACTGAACATAATATCCTATTCATATTACATTGTGAATATTATTACATGTATGAAGTAGGGGACACCAAAGAGCAATTTACAGTTCAAAATGTGATCAAACTACTTGGGAGTTAGTCTAATTGGACATACAGAAAATGCAACACAACGAGCCGCTTTCGCCAGCGTAAACCGCTCATTTTCTGTCAGCGGTCTTTCAATTACCTTCACARTATTTGCATCCTTCRAAACAATACCACTCATATAAGACACATACCAATTCCCAAAATACGTCTCAAACTTTAAGTCTAAGGTTTATTTAGTCACTGAAGTTTTAAAAAATTTCATTTACATCTTTAAATTTTAGACTATATTTCTGTTTAGTCCATTCCATAAACGGAATACTAAAGTTGTAGGTCTATTAAATGAATTTTGGCCGAGTTAGCATGATATGACAAACAACTTGGTAGATTAACAGAGATACCACATCAACGTTATGTTGATGATATTAACAATAGAGTCTAAATGAAAGTATCATTCAAAGTTCAAAAACATAATTAAACCTTCGGTTTATATATTATTTTTGTCTCTGTACTTTTAGAACATCTATTTTAGTCTCTAAACTTTTAAAGAGCGACTAATTTGGTCCCATTATTTTCATCTCATTTCTTTCTATCAAAATTTTAGCACGATACTTCACCCACCAAATTTCTTGAAATGTAACCATAAATTTGTAACTAAAAGTTTCTACTGTGTATAAATTTTGTGTCTAAATTTTACAAATAAGGACTAAAATAGTTATTTTTTAGAATTATAGAGATCAAAACAAATGTTTTAAACRTACCAGGACTAAAGTACCAAATAATATTTAAACTTAAGACTAAATAGGGTTTAAAAAGACGACTTACTTTTATTTGCGGTTGAACTGAAGGCCTAACACTGGCTGTATCACCAATGACTATTACGTTGTTGACATTCCCTCTATCATCCCTTTCAGCAGGTGAAGTTGTTGAGTGCCTCCACTGGCCATTTGTGATGTACTTGTAGTAGTACCTGAAAGCCCATCAAAATTAAATATTGCATTTAACACTACATTTTCTTTCCATTCTTTAAAAGTGGCTCTTTATTTTTTGGCTATTCTATTACATCCGTAGAATTGTGCAGAGTGTTTGATAAGTAAATAAGCCACTCATTTTTATGAACAATGAACTTCCAAGTTTTCTAAGTTTTTGTTCCCTCAGCGGACACATTTTTACATGATAGAATAGAGATTCGAACTTTCAAACTCATAAAAAAGTTACCACTACCAATACTTTAATTAATTGAATCATGCTCAAGTTGACATTCTTTTAAAAAAAATGAGTACCCATAACTAAATTTTAGAAAAGAACAAAAATTCACGTCATATTAATGAAATAAAATGATGTTAAACTAGGTAGAATGAAAGAATTCAAATAACTATGCCATTTGAAGTGACGCAGAAAATTCGAGTTGAATTTAGTACCGATGAATAGATGAGATTATCCAATGATGCTAAAAACGCCATGAAAATTTGAAACCAAGATCATCAACAGAGAAGATGGATTTAGTATCAAGATAATGTATTTATACTTACTTTCCCTGAGGAAGTTTCATTTCTACTTCATATCTGGGCCCACCCTTGTGACTTGCCTTGACCGGTTCTTTCCAGTTACCAGTAAAATCTCCAACCAAATTTACATCCTCCCCCTGTGCCACACAAAAAAGTTGGGAATAGATATTTTTTTCTTCACAAATAGAATAATGTGAAGATACGCAGACTAGTTCTACAGGTTACCTCTTGTCCATTCCATACGAAGGTAACAGCATGAGTGGGGGGTCCATCATGTCTTCCATTTTCCACCATTGCTATCAGATCCCATGTAGCCCAAGCGATTGCTGGCCTGCAAAAAGATTTTGAGAATGTATTTTAAATCTAAGAAAAGAAATATAAAAGCGAAGATTGAAAACATAATCCTTATCAAATGAACTGATAAATAGAAAATAAAAATTAGGCTAAATTATAAAAAAAATACCCTTSAACTTTGCCATTTGTTTAAAAAATATCTCTACCCTTTCAAAAGTTTCAATACTATCCTTAAATTTTTATAATTGTTTCAAATATATTGAGAAAACWTCTACTAATATTTTGAATGAAAAGTTGATGTGACAATTAAAGAGTAAGCTTGCCTAGATTCATTTTAAAAGATAAGAGACAAGAAAACATCTGTTAATATTTTGAATGAAAAGTTGATGTGGAAATTAACGAGTAAGCATGCCTATATTAGGTTTGAAAAGATGGTTAGTGTGAAAAAGACTAGATTAGAATACTATTTTGATACTTTTAATTTCAACTTTAGTTCATTTTAGTTATTGTACTTAAAATGATCATTTTGGTCTCTGTACTATTAAAAAATAACCATTTTAGACCTTATTTACAAATTTTAACACATATTCTACAATGGAAACACATAATCCTTATTAACGAACCTGTCAGGTTTGCAGGAGTGCAAACTGGTGATAAAGTTATAAGCTGCATGAAGAGAAGTATCGGTCATCCAGTGTAGATATGCAATCACACTTGCTGGAGATCGATCAAAACCAGTGGTACAAGTTACAAAAACTCGGTGCTTCTTTTTCAACAATCGTAGAAGTAGGCCCACACAGAATGGAAGTTTTTTCCTCAAATCATAAGAATCTCCCTCCCTGAAAGAAAATAAATTTTATCAAATCAGTCACGCTACGATGTTTTTAATTGCTACCTCATGGCATTCACACAATAGAAGAATCACATCTTGACAGAGCAATATTAGTAAAGAATTTTTTAAAAAAATATATATATATATATATAAAGAATTATATAGCATTCAAAGGAGTTATAATTCAATCTCTGACTAAAAGGAGTTAGTTTAGGAGATTGAAAATATTCTTATGAAACAACCACAGTGATAAGCACATTCTTTCAACTTGAGCGGGATGTGGTACAAAGCCTTAACTCACCTGATGGGGTAGTTGATCATGAGAATATCAAATTTTTGGCATGACTCATTGATTAACTTGGAATTAATTCCCCAGTTTCCTGCCTCAGTTGCACTTTGAAAATTCAGTACAGCAGTGACTCCCTGTAGCAGAAGTTCAAAACAAGTGTAACCAAGATGGACCAAGAACAGAACAGTGCAGACGAGCATCAGGAAAAGCAAATTTCAACACACAAGGGTGGCGTATTTGGGAGTGATGGTTGGTATAATGAGTGMTTTTAAAAAAGAGATTTAAGTATAATTGATTTTCTAAAATCACCATCCAAGTAATACCTTAAAAAATCAATTTAAATGATTTTAAACTTTTTTAAAATCAAATTTTTAATTTGCCAAATATGATCAATGGAAAGGAAAGTAAATTTTGACAATGACGAAAGTGATTTTGGCCTAAAATCACTTTCAAACACACTCTAAGAACATGGTTCAAAAACTAGGTCTAGTTGTACTCGTCTAAATATGCAACAAGACACAGAACGACAACATGCCACATAAAATTTAGGACGACATCAACTTTTGGTATCATAAAAATCTAGTGAGTATCTTGATATTGGATTACACCTTTTCTCCAATTTTTTGAGAATAATGCTGGAAGATCATCTACAGCATAGCTAAGCAATGAACTCCAATAAGAGGTGCCTCCTAATGGTTACTATCAGCAACATGAACCTCTATGCATGCATTACTGATGGTTATATTACATAAACAAACATTGAAAAGGCACTAACCACGCTATTTGACAAAGTCTCCACTTCTGCTTCAGTCTGTATACATGACCCCACATAAATTTGCTCTGTGATCTATCAGCACGGCACGTTTAAATCAGAAGGTTAGCACCACGCTATGGTATGAAGCAYGAAAAGGCAAAAAGTTTGCTCTCTCAGTGCATTAACAAATTCTTGATCCAAAATGTAAAATCTGTACGCAATCTACAAACGGTATTAAATTTTACAATGAAAACAGAAAACCCACCTTACTGTAGCTCATACCACGAGAGTGATCATAATATAGCTCCCCTTTCGACCGTTCTAACGCCTTTACGTATTCATCTAGAGGGAAGCTCCCATGAGCCCATTCTCCATCTCCAGGCTCCTCTTCAGTAAATATACCAACAATTTGGCTGATTTGAGGCGTGAGAATTTTTCTCTGCATATGTGATTTTACATCTCCATTTTGATAATTAAGAAATTTCCAACCTTGTGATGTTGAGAACTTAGAGGAGAAAGTCGTAAAGCCAGAACTCCCACTGCTTGCATCTGATGCTTGTAAATTTGATGCCAAAACTTCTTTCTTCCAAGTAGCAATAGGTACTCTACCTCTGTTAAATAGAATATCTAGATCGTCTGAAAGCAGCAGTTGTTGAATCGGAAATGGCGTGAAAGGTCTTTCAAGAACCAGACTAAAAGACCCTGCTTTCTCCTTCAGCATCATCCTGAAGAAACCAAATACTGAAAATAAAACAAACATAAAAATGATGAATGGGGAAAATCTTCAAAATCAAATCATAGAAAAATTCTATCTACTTTCAAGACTAAGATGCTTAGTTCATACATTTTCAACACTAGGTCAAATTTTTAATATTAAAAGGCAATGTAAGGATAAAATGCTCTATCAAGTGAAAAGTGCATACTGTGTATCACCAAAGTCTTTGATCTCTATAAGCTTGACGCCTGATGAATCGCTTGCCTTCTTTAAAGTGTCCCCCACCATGATTATTCTTGACTTTTCAGCATTACCCTATAAAGATTAAGTTTAAGGCATCACTCTGGAAGTAAAAAAGAAACACGTCAAAATCAATGCGAAAACATTTTAATTACAATGAAGTATGAGACAACTAATATTTCTAGGGCTCTAATTCTGGTCCAATTCTGATTCTCTCTGTTGTATCAAATGTCAATTTATCCCTATTAATCATCTCTATCAACAGATGAATTCGAAACTCAAATCATGCTCTGGCAACATTTCACTTTCTTTGTAGGAAGGACGAATTAGAAACAAAATTTCGCATGAACATCCATAGAAAAGGTTCGCAGCTCAATCTAAAGTTCAGCCAAATGGTACTCCAAAAACAACACCACAGAACTCTAAGCAACAAGATTGAAACTCGAAAATTATCAAAACAAAATAGAAATACCCCTTTCTTGAGCGCATGAACAAAGATTCTTCCATCGACAGAAATCGCGAACCGAATGCCGAGCGGTTTCTCAAGAGTAACCATGTACTCATTGAGGTTCATCTTAAATGAAGAAGAAGAAGAAGAAGAAGAAGAGCCATCCGTCATCGCGAAAACCTTAACAACTCGACCATTGAATCGAGCTTTCACCCTCGGACCAGCCAGTATAAAATTTCTTCCCCAAAACAACGAGGAGCTACTACCTCTCAACAATGGCGAAGAAGAACTATCAATAGTCCGCGTACAAGGAAGCTGCAGAACCGCCATTTTCGAACTCAAATTCCACTCCTCACAAGACTGAAGATCGAAATCCCAAATCGGTTTTGTGAGAATCGGAAATTTGCAAAGACGATTAACGTGGAACATAGGTGGGTCCCACTCACGAGGATATTTATTATTTTTATTACTCTTTTTTTCTTTTTTCTTTTTTTTTCTATTCATCTGCGTGGGCGACCATGAATTCAGGTGGTACGCCTGTTGTATTAGCGAATTATGGTCCAGAGAGAGAGTAAATTCGTCATTTCGTACAATTAAGGGGACACGTGGATTGTTTGATTGGATTGGTGTGTGATTGTAGATTAACAATGCTCTATCGAGAAGTAGAGAAACAAAACTTCCCGCCAGATTTTATTGATGTCATAAATATAAAAGGTAAAACGTGCCAACACAGCATTTAGATTCAGAAGGTATCCAATTGGGATAGAGGACACGTGTCGTGATATCATTTACGTTCAAATGAACGGTATATGATTGTTTGAGATTCCAATCACCCAATCAGATTAGGCAATTGGTTTAGGTTTAGATCCATGTAGATAATTCTAAATTCTATGAAAATATTAAAATCAATTCATGCTTATAAAATTCAAAATATTTAGGGGAAAAAAATTTGTCCTTATGAATTTTGAGAAGTATCAAATTTCAGCAAATCCTGTAAGAACATTTGAGAAATATCAATTGATAGTATGAATAAAAAATGGATATTTTTACAATATATATCCATTATAGTGCAGAGATTATGTGACTTGAGAGGAACATGGTAGTAGGTAAGCTTTTAAAATATCGTATGCATCATGACAATTTAATTACTTTAAAGTATTTAATTTATGAAGGTCATGTTTTAAGAAACTATATGAACAATCTCAAATACTACTATTAGTTCAATGTATGTGAAATAATATATGATGGTCGTGAACTACCAATCCTTTTATAAAGTTATAATGTGTAAGATTGACGAAACTCATGTGAATGAATGCATTTTACTAAAGCATTACTCTTATCTAAGATTAAGATTGAGTATTAAAAATGTTCAAATTTTGGCTTGAATTTTGAAAATAATTTTTAAAAAAAGAAAGAAAATAACAAAAAAAAAGTCATTGCTTGAGATTTCACTAGTGTTTCCATAGTTTGTTAGTTAAGTTATTAGGTGATACTAGAAAACCTAGATAGGTCGTAGTTCAACGAGGTGAGACGAGAAGCTAGTTGAGCCAAGAAGCAACCAAAACTCAAATATATGTATTATAACACAACCAGGTAGGTCCTAGTTGAACTTTGGGTTGGTTCAAGTGGTCTAACCTTGGTCGGATCTACTATGATCAATTGGTTTAGTTCAACTTGGTTGGGAGATGTTTGTCCTGGTGAGGTACTCCTCCCCTCTGGTAGGGTGCTCCAGTCCCTAATCGAGTCAGGTCTAGTATACTTGGATGCTCTAACTCTAATCAAGTTTAATCTAGTCTACTAGTTACTCTCACCCATATTAGAGACAAACTCTCTCAACTAGAGTATAAACTATCAAATGACATATCGAAATGTCGAGAGGTCTGACATTTCGGTTTCGTTTTCCTCCTATATCAACAAAATATCATCTCACATTTCAATATTTTCAAGACATGTTGCCTTTCGAGATGTCAACCACCAAAATTCAAAACTAAAAAGATTTTAGCAGACGGCCACTATCATATCCAAGCCAAAGCCCAATGAAAGAAATGTATTTATACCCAATATCACCTTTCTTTTTCCATGACTTCASTGATGCCAACCATAAGGTTCAAAGTTCACCTTCTCCTCCTCCGAGGCTCCTATACTAGTCTTAATTTCAGACTGATAATTATATAATATTTTAATTATTTTTGTTTTTTTTTCTATTTTCTTATATTTTAAAATTATTACTATTCTTTTTTAAAGGAATTTTATTTATTGGTATTTTTGTCAAAAACATTAAGTTTTATTTAATCATTTTCTCAATTTATTTTATGTGTATAATTCAATTTATCTGTATGTTTGAATTTGAATTTGAGCTCTTAAATGTTTCCAACTTTTATTTCTTGGAATATTTTACTAATTGATTATATGAAAATTGTATTTTAATTGTATATTGAGAGATTTGTGGTTGAATTGGAATGGTGATAAATCCACTTTCCTTCACATCTCAATTTTTCTTGTCTATTTATTGTGTAATCTTGGAACATATCAAGCCAGAAGTGTGGAGCAAAGTTTGTTTATTCTATCAAATTGTTCAAGCATTGTTTATGATGTAAAATTTTGAGAGAATTTTTTATGTAATTCGATAAGTRAAATTTTGTGAGTTGTTTTTTTATTTTGTGAGATTTCTATCGAGTATTGGAGAAGACACATCCACCATTGAAGGGAGTTCAAGCGATGGTCTGCAATATAAGGGGAGCTTGTGTTTGAAAAGATTCAATCGAAAGAGGAGTCGATCAAGTATTGCGACATGATTTAAGAAGGAGTTCTTTTTGCATATATAAGTCAATATTGATCATAAATTGTACTAACTTTTGATTGTTAATCTTATTCTTTGGACGTGGYCTTGTAGGGTAGGTTGGGAAACCGAACCACGTTAAAAACATCTTTGTGTCACCTCAGTTTATTGTTTTAATTTTTAAGATCCAAAAATTTGAAACTTTAAAAATAGAATAATATTTTAGCAAGCTAGTTATAGTTAGATCTTTCAATATTAAAACATTTTAAATTTATTTTATTTTTATATATAATTTTTTTACGAATTTCATAATTTTTAAATTTTGAAACAAAGGATCCTTTTATTTATATTTACGTATTTTTCATCATTGTCTAATATTATTTGAATTAAAAAAAACCATCCAATAGTTTTATTGATATTTATATATGTTTCATAAATCTTTTTTTGAAATATCCATCAACATTATATTTATATTAATATTTTATATATAATGACAAAATAATGATTAAGTAATTGAGTCAGAATCGATATTAATATATAAATATTATAGAAATGACAATTAAAAATGGGTGGATTATAGCCTAATTAAGTTATAATTAATATCTCATTCATTAACTTAAACAATTTTTATCAATATCCATGATTCATAACTTTCGTAATTTTTTTTAAGGATCCTATGGAGTCTAAGGAGGCRTTTGGCCCGCAACTTCGGCATCTGTAACATCGGTTTGTTAAGCTTGTGGAGTTGACCTTGAGATATTGTGTAACAATCGATTTGTGTAGCTTGTGTTTGAAGTACAANCCTTATTTAGGGAAATGTTCAACCATTTATTTAATATAATTAAATTAAATTTGTAAACAATCTTGTAAGAGGCAATTAATCCATCGATTTTTAATTTTGAATTTCTTAATTTATATTTTTTAATAATAATTTTCTTCATTTTTTTCTAGTTCGCAACACAAATTAAATTTTAAACTCAATCAAATTGATATCATAGTTTCAACCAAATTATATTTAATGATAAAAAAGTTTTAAGAGTATTGTAACACAAGTAGTGATCTACGTAATTACATCAAAAGTAAATTTCATCATACTATTTTCTAATATTAGTTGTTTCTAAATGTAATAGTTAACAATTCAATAATTTCTTTTAACATGGATAATCTAAAATTAAATATTATTTAATTCATAAGGCCAAAAACCTTTAATAATTTGGACTTACTTTAAATATCTTTTACAAACCTACCAAAGAGATTTGTTATTTCAAATATTATTCTCAACCCATGAATATATTCGACAAACTTTACAGGATCTGCATGATATCCATCACTCAATGCTCGTAAATAATCCTCTATCATATTCTCCCTCACGACTTCCCCCATTACCATTACGTGTGCATGATCAACAAACGGTTTTATAAACGTTACTAATTTAAAAGTTCTTACTCTTTTTTCTTTTCAAAAGTAAAATGCTTAACCTTTATTTAATTACTGAAAACGTGGAAAATATTTAGAATATATATTTAATATTTATTTATAACGGATGAGATTGGGCTTCCCCAATCGGCCATCAACTCACACGTGTCGTCATCTGCGCAGCCCACCAGTGGCGGACGGATCATAATATTTAATTATGGTTTATAATTATTGTTTCCCCAACTTCCACCCTCCACTTGGCTCCAAAAAGAAGGGTGGCCAAATCCAAAATCCCAAATTCCTTCCACGCCACTCTCTGTTCTTTCTTCATTCATTTTTTGACTAACTAATGACAATGGATACGCCAAAATCAATTTCCCAAATCCCACCCAACATTAAAGTTAAAAAAACAAATACATAAATAAATATTTAAATATTACTATAGTCACTCTATTTCTAAACTGTCTATTTTGGTTTATGTAATTTTAACTTTTGATTCATTTTTGTACTTTTAAAATTTCTATTTTGATCGTTGTACTACTTAAAAAAATGATAATTTTGATCTCTTTATTTTATATCATTTATTTCGATCATAATTTTAACATGACATTTTACACACTAAATTTCTGTAACTTATCAATGAATTTGTATCAATGCAGACGTAATTTTAAAAGTACAATTATTGAAATGAATAAAATTTGAAAATAAAGAGACTAAAATGAACCAAAGTAAAAAATACAGGGACTAAAATGGCCGAGAAAACAAGTCATGGATTGATTAGTTGTCACATAAGTTAAAATATAATTTTTTTTTGTGGATGCATAGTGTTTAGCTTGCAAAATGAAACTTATACCACTTAGCGTTTATAAGTGTAATTTATAATTATTTATTACGTTTTACCAACATGAGCTCAGTTGCTTGAAAAAAAGGTACTAAACAAAAAAGAACCAAAACAACATTTGAACCATTTTTATGTCATGCATTAATACAAGTTTGAACTTACCAAACATAGATTAAATAAGAGAATGTTTCTAATACTAACTTATTTATAGAGCTCAAACACGCGAACACAAGCCAAACTTACTAAAATCAAAACCTAAACATCCCCTAATTGAAGTTTATCAAWTTTTCTCACTTGAATTTGAAAAATTATAATTTCTTTCCTTTTTTAGTACATCATTTATTTCGTAACAACAGTAAAAAAATTTTAAGCGAAGAAATTAATGTCAAACTCGAGACCTAGCTTAATTTATTGAGACATATATTTTTTACTTTCAAGAGAATTAAAAAATAGCACACATGGAATTTTTATTTATATTTATAATATTAGGTTTAAAATTTTATAAAAATAACATAAATTACAAAATTATACCATAAAAAGTCACCTTTATGACATTTGAAAAATAAAAAGTAATGATATTTTTATAAATACATATTTATTTTACGTGATTTAGTATAATTTTTCGTTTTTTTCTTATTATCTCAGGGTTGGAATTGAATTGGGTTTATAAATTTAGAGAAAAAAAAATCCCAATTAAACTTCATTGTATTGCCAATATTCTGTTAGACTTGTTTATCCCAAATTTCATCAAAATCCTCATATGGAATCCCAAATATAATTTAACTTTATAMAAATCTTCAGTTTATATTCAAAAGATGAAMTAAAAACTTGTTCATCAATCCCTTTTATTTTTCCATTTTACATATCTAAACATTTTGATGTAGAAAGATGAATGAACCTCATGATCAGAACTTGAAATTGCAAAATTAAATGCTCCATTATGGAGCGGCTCTGCCCAATCCACTGACGTTCGTCCAGAAACCAACCAGGTCCGGCTTGTAAGGAAGGTACGATTTTCTCTTACCTTCTTCTTTCAAGGTTCGATTCCTCACGTAGAATGATTCGTGCGCCGAGAATATCCTCTTCTGATCTCCGGCGGATCTCCGGCCGCTCGATTTTTCGGCGACGTCACCGGAATGAACTTTCTTCTCCTTCAATTCCTTCGCCGGTTTCGTCTCCGATTTGATTTCTTTTGATTTCTTCGTTGCGGCTGAAATCGTCGACGGCGTGAAGGAGACGTACGAATTCTTTCCGTCGCTGTGGCTCCTCCGGAGGAGGTCTCGGATCCCCCACCGCTTCGTYGACGACGATCCGGTGGATCGGCTCTTCTTGCACGGCAGATTTGGCGTTCCGACGGATTYAGGTTTCCACACGCAGTACGTTCCAGACGGAATTCCTTCCAATTCGTCCGCCGCGGACGACGACGACGATGAAGGCGACGGCGGATCGTTATCGCGATCTCTGATTATAAGCTTCTCCAACGGAATTCGAATCTGCTGCACGATTACCGGATCTCGATCATCGATCTCCGCTCCTCGAACCTGACGTTCCTCAAACAGAAGATCGGAATCGAAAATCGGAAACACCGGAGCGATCGGACCGCCGCCAAATTTYTGGAGCGAGACGAATTCAAAATCGTCGTCGTCTGCTTCCTCTGCTTTGTTCACGGACGGSGATGGATCGAAATCGAAGAACGAGCGGTCGGAGTCAGGACATGATCCGCCGGAGAACTCGCCGGCGGCTCTTCTGGCGGCGTCGGAGACTGTACCGGCGGAGTAGCTGCTGAAGCTCGGACACGTTCCCAAATCTTCTTCTTGAATTTGCAGAGACATGACTTATTGTTTCACACAGTTCTGTGAGAGTGCTGTGAGTGAGTTTCGGAATGAAAGAAAAATGGAATTGAATGGTTAATATATATATGTGGAGAGAGAAGTGGTTTGAAATCGGAGTCCGCGAGTCATGACAAAAAAAGAAAATGGAATTAAAAATATAAATGGGACCAAAATTATATGAAAAATAAAAACTTTTTTTTTTCTTTTAAGTTTTAAAATTTTCTTTTCTACATCAAAATTAATAAGTTAAATTACAAATATAGACATTAGACTAAATTTAGTCAGTAAATTTTAAAAAGTTTTTATTTATTTATTTAGAATTAAAAATTAATTTTAAAAATGATAATAGTGTCTTGTCTGCTACATTCAATTATGCATTTTTAAAAAGAAAGTAGAACTAAAACTATAAATGACCAAAATGTTTTTTAATTTTCTTCAAAATTAAATTTAAAATTMATAAGTTGAATTACAAATTTAGAAATTAAATTTTGATAGTCGTCTCAATTTAGTCGTTAAATTTTTAAAATTTTTAATTAAACTTTTTAAACAATAAAGAATAGAGGTAAAACACTTCTAAACAAATAATTTAATTAATTTTATAAAGCTCAAGGTGTCTTACGCAACATAAATTAAACTTGTAATTTAATCCATTTTAAAATTTAAAATCTTTAAATAAAAACAAAAACTAAGAAATAAGCAAAACATTATATTTTGTTAGTATTATAATTCCAAACACAAGGGTAGCAACTCGAAACTACTCTATAAAAAGCTTACTAATCCATTCGATTGAGGTTCCAATTGTAAGGTGGGAGGCAGGCAACTCAGGGCTGCCACGGTGGAAATTTGAAATGTATAATAAAAAAGAAAAGGAATTTATTTTCTGATTAATTCAACGGCTGTAAAATGGTAATGGAATTGGTGTACGGATGAGGTTTAATAAATTTAGAAGGTGGAGTTGAACGAACTTGAACAGCTGTCAAATCCGTGTGTGAGATCCTTCCCCTTTACTTCACTAACACGTTCTGCGCCCATATCGRCCAACGCCCATTCCCAACACGTGGCGCTTTCGAGTGTTTTCCTTCCTGGATAATCTCTTCAAAAATATAATTTAAAAAATCACCATATTTTTCTATTTTAATAGACAACGACCGAAATAAAATAACAAAARGTTCAAAGCAGGACAGATATTCTGACGCTCAAGTTAGTAAAGATTTGTGAGTTATTAGTRTTGAAAAAAGATCGTGGCTTTCTTCACTCATCGATTAGATGGTCGTTTGAGCTTTTGGACTCTGATACTGTATCAATATTTATGGGGTTCAATTTCAAAATCAATTGTCAATCAGAAGAGTAGCAAACTTATATTATAAACTTCTTGTTAGGTCATCTTAACAACGTGAGATCCTTAACAACTCCACTCCAACCGCTTAGCACACTACTGCGTGATTCTTGGTGTGAGACTTGTGGTGGTAGATAATAGGCTTAAGAGTGGTTACCTTTGTATTTCTCAGCTCGACCTTACTAAGGCTGAAATACCTCAGCTGTGAGCTAGGTTCCTCTGCCTTGTGATATTGTTATGTTTCRGATCTCATCGACTTCTCTTCTCTTGGCATGTAGATGTCATTTTAATGCTACTCAAGTCATTGTTGAGAAATATTCTCAATTGTGTAGGAATTTTGGAAACAACAAAAAATCAAGTTTTTTTTTTATTTTATTTTTATATTTCATATTTCCATTTTTAGTTTTTTCCAAAATATAAATAAAAGCATTGTTTTATTATTCTTAACTTATAAAATGCATAATAAATATTTAAAATAAAAATACAAGATAAAAAGCATTTAATTTAAAAAGTTAATTTTCATATAAAAAGATTTACTTTTGAAATTTTAAATTTTAGAGGATGAGTAAAAAAAAAAATTGATCAAACGTGATTCTATTTTTTTTTGTCAATAAAAAAGAAACAAATAATAAGAAACAATTATTAAATGTAGTTATATGTTTCTCTTTATTAAAAAAGATAGAAACAAAAAACGACAAATAAATATTAGAAAGAGAACGTTACAGAAAGTTGATCTTTAGACATTTCTATACGTTTAGRGATTTGACATTAACATAAAAGAGTGAATTATAAAATATAAAGAATTTCAACAAAAATATTAATATATTTTAATTTATTTGAAAATAGTAAAATACTTCTTTGTTATTTTAAATATTTCTATTATCATTTATTTATTTTCAAAAGTATCCATCAAAATCTATATATATATATTTGATATTTTTGTCAACATTTATACTGACGTCATCGAAGTTTAAAACCTTGGTGGGAAGTAAAATTTGGTTAATCAGCTCATATTTATATTTGTTTGTTATCTAAATTTTCAAAGTATTATATTTTAGGTTAGAAATTATATTTAGTATTTCCATGAAAGATTTAAGGTTTTTAAAATTTAATATGAAAAATTTAACTCTTATRCTTTTAGGTAACTTTTTTGGTACAACAAATTGGTATAAAAATTTGTCTGGTCATTTATTAACTTTAATATGTAACAATTTAATCTTTTATAATTTAAAATTTGTCAATTTAGTATCTATCATAAACATGTGAATCACTCGAGATCAAATTTATTTTCAAATTAGAGAGAGATACTTCAATTTTATGAGATTTTTTTATGATAGAGATAATTTTAAACTACAATGATTTAAATGATCATCGATATAGGGACATTTTGGGAGCTAATCTAATCAAAATATGAGAGTTGTTGCAAGATTTGGATATGGGGTTCACACCTAAGCACATTGTTGAGAAAAGTACTTACCAAGAAAATTTTCACTTTTCAGAGTTATTGAGTGAAAACTAAATCCAACACTCAATAAGAGAATATATAGGAAAAATACAGAAACGACACAAAAAATTTATATTGATTTACCCAACAGTCCAGTTTTTCGTTACACGCGAGTTCAACTATAATAAGATTGGAACAATGAGAATGCAGTATCTCTCACTCCAAATGTTTCAACAAAAGCCACCTAGCTTCTACCACAAAATGATTATAGAAAACAAGAATGAAAAACCTTACCAGTACTCGAGAATTGGTTGTCGACTACGCACTACAACCCCAAGATCTCGACCTCTGCACTACAACTATAGTTTTGCCGCTGCCCCTCAATTTTCGTGCCACTTCAATAACTAAAATTGCAAAAAAAAAAACTGTTGTATTTAAATATCGGGACAACACCATGCTTCTATCTTTAGCACCATGGTGTTATAGAYGCAAAAGATGTCTGCACACGTCTAGATGGCGTCGTGATGCTGCCTCCTCATCCAAAATGACCTTGCAGCCTGCTTCTTCAATTCTACTTCATTCTTGCCTCGTCCCGACCCGTTCTGATGTTGTTTTAGCTCCTAAATCCCATCACACCCAATAAATCTGACCACAAGTGTGTGAGTTCAGTTGAAGATAGCAAAAAGTAGAGTTTGTAAAATGTACCTCGTGCTCCAACTTCTCCTCTTATTTATAGAGAGAGCCTGCATATGTTGGTTCGAATGTATACTCAGTTGAATTTGATCGACTCTCGACCTGGTCGAGTTGGACCTAGTATAATCAGAAAATTTGACTCTGACTACTTGACTTACGTTGCTTTCATAGYCTCATTTCAAGTATACGATRATTTACTCCTAATCAGAATTRTAATAAAATTTTTAAAAACTCAAAAGACCACGGAAAACTAAAATTGAGAGCAGMAAGGACAAAAATTGTAATTCATCATATACTTTAAATGAAAAGTATTGTCGGTCTAAGTAATTCTTCCCATTGTGAATCCATTTGGCAATAATACTGGATAAGATTTGTGAAGGATTGATTCAACATTTATTATTATTATTATTATTTTTATTTTTGTTGTTATTGTTATAAATTAAATCTTAAATATTCTGAATAGTCTTTCTGGCCGTCGTTTCATCAATAACTGCGAACACACAAGCAAAAAACTTTTATCCCTATAAATAGTTTGCTCATCGGTGGTATATTAAATAAATAAATAAAACAAGTTGCAAAAGCATGTACAATGGATAAACATGAGCATACGTAACATGTTCATCTCTGCGTCTTAATTTTTATATTAAATTCAGATTACGAAATTCTTCGTAATCCATTTTAATGTTTTGTTTGTTGAGAAAAAGTACTTCTTCGTTGAATTTTTTTAATACAGAAAATATAGATTTTTTTTTTGTTGGGTGAGAATTCAAATCCACTATTTTTCTCCGAGGAATATAGCAAAGAATCTTTTCGTGAGTAGATTTATATTTTATAAATGAAACAACTTTATAAGAATGAGTACTTCATTTAACGAAAGACACAATTCTCTRTAAGAAGATGTGACTATTTGAAAGTCACAAACATTATATATTAACGGATATTTTCTTATTATTTTTTTCCCTTTCAATTTTGGATAGAAAGAACTTTGATGGGTTTCTCATTCTCTTATTTTCTCTGTACAACTGTTTATATACTAGTCTTCGTTGAGTCCCGTGGCTAAACCATTGCATTCACATATTAATAATGATAATTGTTCGTGACATCTTGAGCATTATAGAGGGAACAAAATTTATCTCAAGAGAACAGTGTTACCATTTGTTTGGGGTTGTTTGGGGGTAAACGTACCCGGGACACGTGGAGGACCCTTATTCGTGTTTGAAGAAATTAGATAAAAAGGATTGCTTAGGTCCACCTTGGCCCCGCCGAGGTGACCGGGTTTGCCCCTTAAAAGATGAAGTATGGGCACCAAAGTTCGACCTGACTGGGGTCCGACCTGCTTGGAACCCGACAGGTCCGATATGAGAAAAGACATGTAACCGCCGGTCATGTGTGCTGTCGGATCCATCACCTATAAATAGAGGGCTTCATTTCACGCTCAGGTATCGAATCTCACCTCGAACTAAATAAGGAGTTCGATCTATACTGACTTGAGCGTCGGAGTGCTTACCCTCTTGTGCAGGTCCACTCTAGTGTTCAGGTCGGAACC